AGGGCAGTTATTGAGGCAGAAAGCACCTCTGAAACGTCGGCAAACTGCTACCAGACTGTACGTCGCTACTACCCAGAAGACAGCCGTGAGAACTCTAAACCCTTCGCAGTGTCAAATTTGTTCACTTTGAAGTTAGAAGAATTAGTTATAAAGAGAATATTTGCTTTCCGTGTTCCTTTCTTTTTTCCTGCTTTCTAGGAGATTGACGGGTTTTTAAAATAACGATCCCTGTTTAATTTGGTTTATATAACTGTTAAGGAACGCAAAGCAGTGCTTGGTCTTCCTCATTTCTCCGTATTTCTTGCGACGTGATGTACTGTCGCAGAAAATGTTTTTTTCGATTTCGCCGTGCTCCTCCGGCAACTTCTCCGACAGCGCAGTGTTGCATGTAATCGTACCCACAGGCGCGCTTCAAAATTTTTGTGTTTATTTGAATGTTACATCGTGATATTTGAAGAAAAGAAAATTGTGCTGTTGTCTGGTATCGAACCATCATCCATCTGTTGTTGACGGACATGAGTATACAACGAAATAATTTCCCGTTTCAGTTTTAACGGGCATTTTTTTCTACGGGTTATATTATAACGTAATTACAAATCTCGGGTTCGATTCCCGGCGGTGCCCGAATTTATAACTTGTGTTGGGCAAGGCCGTGGTCTAGGCAACACGGAGTTTTCCTCCGGGGGCTTCCCCGGTTTCTCCGTGGCATCCCATTCACACACAGAAGAAGGCAATGGCAAACCACTTCTGGATCATCTGCCAAGAACGTATAAGAACAGGTCCCAGTCCGAGAAAAGGATGGAAGGATCCTGTTCATATGGACCTGTCGTCAGACAGAACACTAAATAAAATAAAAAAAATTACAAATCCTGACCAATGTGAGGAGGTTTCGCTACCAGTGGTGGCAAACCTTTCTGATTCTGTTGTCGTGTGTTGATTGTAGAGGTAATTAATTCTGTTTTATGAACACCGCCTCGGGGAAGTGTTCGTATGAAAACTTGCTGAGCGCGCCTCGTTCTTTCGACTGTAATTTCTCAATCCTGTTTTGGAGTGTTAACTACGCGAATGACAAAGCTGAGTTCCCGTTTCTGGACCCTCCCTGGTTATCAATTTTAACGCTTGTAAGTGATATAACCTGTCGGGCGAAGCACCTTATGGGCCGCTCCAGTTAGATAATTGCTGTCTGGGTGTGACTCACAGAATGTTTTGGCTCCACCCTCACAAACATCTGGTCGTAATTCATTTGCAGGTAGGCGGATTACACCGTTTTGTTACCAACATCTTCAAGTAACACGATAATCAATTACCCGTTTACCATCCTACACCATCGCATCCGATTTTATTGAAAACTCTTTTTTAATATTCTTTTCCGTTCTTTGCCCGAATCTCCGAAGCAGCGTCTTAACCTTCAATATAAAGTTTTCTTTCCGTGAACTCAACTGAATTTTTTTGGACAATTGAAGAACAGCTCGTACGCGATGTTAAGTACACGTCTTATTAACATCTACAACTTTTATCGGAAATGTTTTCTGATATTTAACGTGGAACTAAACGGCAAACTGAAATGTGTGAATCTTCGCTTTGTGAACTGTGAACTGCTGATTGCAGCCGTCGGAAGAAGTTCCAAGTTTAATGAAAGCGAGGAATTTGTTGAGACTTGAAAGAAGACACTGTGCCGGGGTGTCGGGAGAGGCAGAAAAGTCCCCGTCAGCCTTAACATCTGGCATAGGCCGCAATGACTCAGTCTTACTAGCCAACTTGTAGCTGATGGCGCCAAGGTCCCGATTACTCAGCGTAAAAGATAATTATGAATATGACAACACTGTACGTATCAGACCCCGTAACCTGGGCTACCCAGCGACTTTCTTGTTGTCAGTGTCTTCTTACGAAAGAATGGACATCTGACGAAGGATTGCAGTTAGAATATTACATTTGAATTTATATCGATTATACACCTGAAGATGGTTCATTGAAAACCGAAACATGTCGTGAAAAAGATGATGCTCTAATTGTAAATCGAACATTTCGATAGAAAGAGCATCATTTTAATATATTTTAAATATTAAATATTAATTGTAGTAATAATAATTTAATATTTAATAAAACATTTTATTGTGATTAGACGGTTAATATTAAACAATTATAATCATCACAATATGACGCAACATTATCATCTTACGAAAGAATGTTAACAACATTTGGCTTTACTTACGTAGTTTGTCTTGATATTCATTTATTTATTTAGAAAAATTTTATTATTCTATTTGTATCGATGTAAACCAGAATGAAATTCGCTTGAGAACTTCGTCCATCAGACACATGAAAAATGTCTCTTGCCAGGAGGCACAAATCCAACGTCAGGACTAATTTTATATGGACAGATCGCGTAATCACATTATTGTAGCGCACTTGCTCAGACAGACAGTTGTCAGAAAGGGACAATGAAGCTATAACAGCTGATTATTTATTCTGACATTTGATACCGTTCAGTTAGTCCACGTTGTCTGCTGCGTGGAGCCCAGGAAGTGGTCTTTCCTGTTATTGAAACTTTGTCATTTTCGTTGCAGATTTACGTTTAGCGAATCAAACTGAGGAAAGTTTGGGCTCGTTTTAACGCTTTTGGGGCCCACCGCCTTCTTTAATATCTACAACTCTACATTTTTCGCACAGAATATTTTTTTTGTATTTCACGTGATTCTCAGAATGAACGTTTACAATTTCCTTTAAAATATGAACCAGTTGATATTTGTAGTATCGAAGTGTTGTGTTTTCTTTGAGGTACAGGCTGGATGTTTAAATAAAATTACGATGAATTTACGGTTCAGAGTGTTAAATGAGCTGCTGTGATTGAGAGTTTTTGTCATCATATTCCCGGGCTGGCGGTCTTTGAGACAAGAATTTTTTTTTAGTGTTCTGTCTGAGGACAGGTCCATATGAACAGGATCCTTCCATCCTTTTCTCGGACTGGGACCTGTTCATATACGTTCTTGGCAGATGATCCAGAAGTGGTTTGCCATTGCCTTCTTCTGTGTGTGAATGGAGTAATTGTTGGGATGCCACGGAGGAAAACTCCGTGTTGCCTAGACCACGGCCTTGCCCAACAGAAGTTATAAATTCGGGCACCGCCGGGAATCGAACCCGAGACCCCAGGATTACAAGGCCCCGCTAGACCACCGTGGCGGTGTTTGCAGATTACGCCACAGAAATGCTTGGTCCATGTGGCGTGATAAACGTTCAGACAAGGGGAACGAAGAAATGTTGTAATGTTCAGATACATTAGAAGTATAATTTCTGAATTACGGCTTGCGAAATGTCAGTATTTTCGTTGAAACCCTGTAATCCTCCTGTTGAACATTGTTCGTGAAACAGTCTGTGTCATTGTTGCTGCTACTCTCGAATCTTCATCTGAGAAACGTGAAAGTTTCCTCGGCGTTTTATTAACGAAACGTAAACGGAAATAATTAATTTGAAATGCTGTTACAAGTACATCCGTTGATGAATGTAACTTGTAATAGTGTAGTGATTAAACTTAGGTAGCGATCCATTGGATAAATTATTCTGTTTTTCTTAACGTCAAACAACACGAAGGCTTTTCAACAATGACTCCTCCTTTCAGTCTGTCGGACATATTCATTTATCACGTGATGTGTTAAGTATAATTGATGACACGTTATGGAGATTAGCCAGGCAGTTTGAGGGCAAACATGGCGCGGTTTGAGTAAGTGAGCAGCTTGTTTTGGTTTGTTCCTTTCTCTAATGCATTAGTTACACTTCGCCGGAAGACAAACTGACGTGACTGTTATGAATGATGTCTGAGCAAGTAATCTGCTTGAAATAGAATGTTTTCTTTATTGACAAGCTCTCTAAGTAAGGGTGTGGTTCTAGAAAGGGTGGAGATATCAAAATCAATTTATCTAATTTCCTGTCTATCAGAAGACGCGACCACTTCTGAAATCAGCTTCTAAGTTCTCTTGAAATTACAGTGGTTATTCTCTAACCCTGCATTTTTTGTAAAGTGTTTCGTGTTATTCTCACCCCTCAGCGCTCAAAAACACTGAGGTTGCAGCCCTGGGCCGCCGTGTCTCGGTTCCAACCCTGGTGTTACTTGGCGTTTTTTACGTGGTGGCCTTTGGGGTTGTCGTATCATGTAACATTTTGGTTGTTTGCAATAGTTTCGGAGGAGCATAGTGCTTCCATCTTCAGGGCCGATGGAGACCCATTCAAAATACCACATGACGCACCAACCAAGATTACACACATTCAGTTAAAACGTAAAATCTTACAAATATAAAGAAATTGCGTTTATGCCTTTGTATAATGCTGATCTCGAAAAAAAAAAATCCCAACTTGATGTAGTTTAATGAGCTATGCGTTCATAGTAGGCATTATGATGACAGAAAAATCTACAAATATACCTATAAATCAATAAATGCATTGCATCGAAATATATAATAGTTTTAAAATGATAAAAACGACGATATAAACCTGAAGATGATGTCATAAAACATCGAAACATGTCGTGCAATTAATAATAAGCGCCATAATATAACATAATATAACTTATTGTAATATTTTATACTACAGATGTTATAGTGTTATATAAAATTTTAACAACAACATTTTAAATACGTTTGTGTATTGACTGTGATAATAAATATATATTTGGTTTCAACACAAACATGACGCATTTAAGCAACAAATAAGAAAGAACTTGTAGAAAAGGGGCCAAACAGTACACCGAGGGTGGGTGGAACTGTATGAAATTACATCGCAGGTTCCCTTTAAAGCTGTACTATGACTTCTGACCTACATGTCACAGAGACATGCCACGCCCTGGCAAATGTCATGAAAGTGTAAAGAAAAATTATGATTCGAGAATTGCTCTGTTTTTTTTTTTTGGTATATTTTTCCATTCTTATTTTTACTATTTCTCTTAACTTTCTTAAAGGTGGGCATTTTAAGTTCTTTACTAAAATTTTTTGTTGTGTTCCTCCCTTCAGGTTACTTGTGGGCGCACCACTAGGTAAGAACCTACAACCTGGTACAAACCATTCTGGGGCCTTGTATCGATGTCCAGTAACTACAAACTACAATGACTGTGAACAGGTGGTGACTGACGGGAAGAGAAGTAAGTTGCTGTCGGCAGGCCCTACTGAAATCCTTTCTTCATGAGATGTCTCATTATAATGCAAGAATATGACAAAACTAAGCGCAAAATTATTCATTGGTTCTTGATAAAGGAACGCCGTGTAAATACAGGTATTGCCCATCAGATGCCAAATGTGTTTTGATAGGGACAGCTTGAAGGCATCATTAAACAGATTCTGTATATTACAGCCAGTAACTTGAATGTGGAAGCATCATAAAACAAAACAGAATTTATTACAACCAGACAGACGAGACATTTGTATTTGTCATTCATAAGCATCACTTCCTTTACCAGATACATAACTGATTTTTGGTTTAGTGTTTATCAGTAAACCAGTATTAATTAAACTTGGTCAGAAAATAACCTTGTTATCACATTGGTGTGAATTTCATGTTAAACCGCGCACAGAAACTATTAGATACAAGGAAGATCTTGCATTAGAAAACTTTAATGTGTTCTGCTCACAGAAATATCGCCACGAAATTAAGTGGCGAGGGAGCGAACGCAGTCGTGGTGTGCAGGTTTCTTCATTGAAGATCTATCTTTAATTTATTTTTAGTTTATTTCAAGAAAATTATCAGAGTATGTAATTCTATGAATATTGTTCCTAAAGGAATTGGCTTGAAAATGTAGCATATCTGAGACATGATTGACAGTGTAGGAAATCTAAAATATTCTCAAATCGTGTCTAATAGTGTTGACTTGCTGTAGGAAGTAACATTCTAATTTTATAATCTCACAGTATACATCATTTTACAGACAGTCGCTGAAAGTAATGCTCATAAATTTCGAGCCTCTTTTGTATAGACATGCTACCTTTTAATGTCTTCATATAATCTCTGTTGATGGCATTTGCAGCCAGAATTTACCAGCGACACATTATAAGATTTCCGTCATGTCAGATTCATTACTTGAATTTTATAGTCATTATATAAAGCTTGTTAACATTTTGAATGTATTACGTGTATTATGTTTTTTATCTTCAGACGAGTAACGGATCGACAATGAAAAGGAAACTTCCATACGATCTGAAATAGTGGCAGCCTCTGGTCTGTTAACTTGGCTTAAGCCCTCTGCGAAGCTCCAAAAATATAATAGCACTTCTTTATGCATAAGACGTATTATGTGAAAATATATTCATTTTTGGAATGGTATAATAATAAATAATGGTTATTTCTTGTTAAGTATGACAATTTATCTCGCCTTTTCAGTGCTCATAATTGAGTTTTATATGGTAATGCTCATCAGAAGTACACGTTTGTTTAGGTTTTGTAATAATAAGTTACAATTGCAGGATATAAATTTAGATCTGTTGTTCCAAATATGTATGACACCCTAAGATGTTTTTTCAAATGAATCATCCACCCATTTTTTTACCCTCGTCAGGCATTCACAAGTTCTGTTGAATTGTATTTTATTCCATAATAGGTATTTTATGAGGTTGACGTAGGTATGCTTGTGTTGTTAAGGTTGTCTTATTTGGTTTTTGGGTGGAAGACCTTAAAGTATTCTTTGCGATTTTGTGTGTTGTTTCATTTTCTTGTTTTCCAGGTGTTCTCAAAAAACCTCTACAATCGTCATTGGTATGCCTAGTAAATTCATCCTATGAACTGTATTTACTTGTATTCAATAGTTGTAAAGTGTAAAGTAGTTTGTCTAAGCTATGTCTGTATTAGAGATGTTAAAATATTTTAATTAATTTACTTATTATCTTAGGTACGAACGTGTAGTTGTTTTGCATTTGTAGTTGACTGATTAGTGTAGAATATAAAATATTTTATATAGTTACACTCCAATAAAGAGCACTCAGTACTGGACTTTGAACCATTTAAAACATTTATCTGAGACTCAGCTAAAGTAAAGTAGGCATTATTGTTGTCAAGTTTGCAGTCAAACCATAACTATGGTTATTGTTGTCTTTGTACAAACCTGTGCATATGATATTATAATGTGCGAAGTACAGCTTATGATCTACTTAAATCACTTCCGAGTTTGCATAAATGCATAACCAAGTGAAATTTGTAATTATTGCCCATATTGAGTTACGAAGGAAAATATATTTAAAAAAAACAGCATGTTTTTTGAGTTAAAAATTAATAAGTTGTGTTTAAAGAATGGATAACAACACATTTCCAAAACTTATTTCTCTTTACAAACTTAAATGATGTCAGTAGGATTCAAAAGTTGGTTACGAAGTTGAGAAAGGCTTAAGCTTCATTAGTCGAGACAGAAGATACGTCTCAAGACTTGAAAGGTAACACTAAATATGACAGTTTTAATCCATATTAAAAAAACATTGGAACAGCTGTGATGTCTCGAGTGATAAATGTTGTAAATGGATTAAGGTGTTTAATCTTTAGGACTTTTTCTTCAAATGTGTACCCACAAAATGTCAGGAGTTATCATGATAGAATTTTATTTCATAAGGCAAAATATTAAATAATGATTTAGATAGTTGTGGCGATTGAAGCGGAAACTTCACCTTTAGTCACAAGCAGTCCGCAGGCATCATTTTGGCATAATCGGAGAAAATTTGAGCCACAGAAACAGCAAATGAATTTGTATTAATCTTAATATGTTGTTACATAAATGTTTTACAAAGTGAAATTTGGTGATGATGGACTGAAAGTATGTCAATAGCTGAACTGAAATGTGGAATTGTGCAATATAATTTAGCTTTGTTACTTAATTTTCAAGTCACTTGCATGAAATTAAATCCTCTGATATGCTGATGGTTGTATGCCATATTGGCAGTGTTGATGCTGTTTTCAACTCGATGAATGGTATATTTAAAGAATTTTGGATTCAATTTCAATAATCATCAGTTAATTATTGCAGTATTACCACAGTCTGCTCCTCGTTACTGGAGGTCTTTACTTCCGCCAGCCATCTTGGTGTTCAGTATATAACAATTTAAGTTTCATTCTACTGGGTATACCATTTAGAAATATCCTATTGCATTACGATCGCTGCTCTTTTATTTTTCCACAAGAATCAATGTCTGACTGTCTGCTGTCTGTTTTTATTTTATCTTCCTGCAGTGTTTTATTTTAAAGATCCTTTGGTTTTTAGTTTCTGTTATTGTTGTAATGAAACTCTGTTGTTTTCTTTGTTTTTTTGTTTTGGCCGTGGCATTTGCAGATCCTGAAGATGGGCAGTATGAACCGTGTAAGTGGTTGTCAACTGACTACCCCTCCTAAAGTTGTGTTCGCTCGCTCGCAAACCAGAGGTCAGACCTGTTGGTCGCTCTGGTCAGTTTGCCGCTGAGGTTGGTTTGGCTTCTCCCTTTCCTTCTCCTCCTCCAGATGTGATGCAGAAATATGCATGTCCCTGCATGTGTCGTCTCTTGCTGTGATGGAATGCGTTTGCCATCAGCTTGCGACATTATTGTACATAATCATATTTCTTTGCCTGCGACTGTATGAGAGATGCTGACTGAATGTAACACCATCACTAGGGTGCTATCGAATATTCTAATGTTTCTTCCGCATTTCATTATTACTTTTTTGTTGTAACATTTTTGGAAGGTAGATGTTTGTAATGCATCCTGATATGTATAGCATTGTAAAGACAGAATAGTAGGGGTGTAATCGATATTTGCTCCATGTTGTGACAGGCTGGTCTGCGAACATTTCAGAGGAATTAACAGTATCCACTTTCAGGGCAACATGATATTTTATTGAAGTAAACTGTTTTCTGGATATTATCTATCGTCCAAGATTAAATAAAATCAATAAAAACCGTGTCGTTTCGGAGATGGGAGTCTATCTCTGTCTTCAGGTAAAACATACTCTGTTGGACCCGATCGATAGAGCTAATCCCTATCTCACATGTTCGCCATCGTAATAACCTCAAATTTCAGAATGAGAATTGGGTATGATGTCATTTACTCCACCCTGAAAGTAATGGAAAGTGTTACTTTCTCCAAAATGTAGACATATCAGACCACCATGTCATGGTGTTACCCCAACATCCTCCATGGAATACTTTAGATTTGAACAGAATTACCATTCAACCTCATATTTAAACCATGAAAAATCCTGTACAGCCTGGAGAATTTTACTGTAAATTATCTTGGGATTGCTGTGGAATATTCATTTGTATGCGGAAGATACATATTGATTCTCTGTTTCAGAATAAGGAGGTTCTGTAAGATATTATGATGCTACACTTTGTATAACTTATTGTTTTTTCTTTCTGGCTGCTGTGTTTATATGTGTCTTTACAAATTTTAACCAGAAGCTAAAATATGTTAGTTTCAGCTCTGCCTAGTTAGGACCAGAAACATAACTACGTTCAGACAAGGGGTAAAACAGTAGAACAGGGTTTGATTTCTTTGGGTATTGATTATAGTTATAGATTTCTGCACAAAGCATAGGATTAAGGGTGTAGACAGGTTACATATATTGTGGTAGGTGTGTGCTTCAAGTCGGGAAACAGCGATGGGAGTCATTTAAGGAGGGTCACCAATGAAGAATATTGACAAAATTTATTAATTGAACATCATAGTCTGGATTATTTGCAAATTTCTAGGTCTGTATTAAAACAAATACCTTTTTCCTTTCATCCTTCTAAAGAGTATCTGATATTGTCATTTTGCATAAACTTTGGGTATAATTGGGGGATATTTGACAATTTTAAGTTAAATGAAATGCCGTGTATTACCTCTTTCCTAGTGGCAAAGTAACATTTTGTATTTCAAGCTCCCTAATTTTTTGGTAGTATGAGTTTTCTGGTAAGCCCCAGTCTTATCAGTCCATTAGTACTGACTTAAAATGTAATTTATTTGCAGCTTATTAATTTTATATTTGAAACTGTAGTTTGCCACTTGGCAGTCAGGCGACTTTCAGGTTAACGAAAGGAGTGTGTTTTGTTGAGTGATTTCTGTTATGAATTCTGTAAGTTTTTCCGTAAAAAATGGTTGAAAGAATGTTTCAAATTATGACCCCTTCCTACTTATTCCTTATTATTTCATAAATGCATTCATCACGCTGCACCAAAATATATCCTCGTATAATGATCATGAGATTGCATTTCATGGGTCAGTTGTGTGGGGTGCTCAGTTCAGAACTCTTGACACTAAAACTTATGTGATATAGTTTTTCAAATTTTCACCCATGTATCTGAAAAATTTGTGAGATTGTGCCCTGTTTATGTCACATGTAATACTCGTAATGAACTCTTAATTGGTTCATGATAGGGTCTAGTATCAGATGTTTGTCATTACGGTAATGAACCTTTGGATTGCATAACGGGAAATTTTGATTAGATGAATAACTGTCATTTCTTCATTAAAGTTTTTTAACACCATGGAGTTAATGAAAATTTAATTATTTATTATACAGAGAAGAATTATTATAATTCAACGATTCTTAGTGTGTTGCTTAAAATCAGTTTTTATATTTTTTTCAGATTTGATACTAAATTAATACAAGCTTTTTGAATTAATTCTAACACTAATGTAGAAGCTCTCACTATACATTAATTTAACAAGAGATTTAATAATATTAATCCACTAAAATTTTAAGTACACTAAGTAGGGCTGTCAAATGATTAAAATTTGTAGTTAGTTAGCCAATAAACTTTAAAATATATGCAAGACAAAGTTTTCTTAATAAGTGACATCCAAATGCCAGTGGTTAACGGTGTATGAATTAATTATGCAGTTGATCTCTGAAGTGATGAGTTAATACACTACACATTCTTTGTTTTATCTACATAAATGTATCAAATTAAGTCAGACATATCAACATAAGTGCATAAAGATTATCACAAAAGTTTTGTAAAACTGTCACATCAGGTTGCTTCACTGTTTAGCGTTCAAGGTAGAGATCAAGAGACAAGCTTTGTTGCTACCATGACAAGTTCTGACATTAAAATTAAGAATTTTAGTTCACGAATATGTAAAACGTTCGTATAATGAACACAGAAAATGTATGCAGCATTTTAAATGTGGCATCCTAAGTTTAAAATTATCGGAGGCATCAATTTTCTTTGCATTCTAATAAGTTAGTTTACTAAATAAAATAATCAAAATTAAGTAAGTAGTCAGTTGTTTGGAATTATTAATCATGACAGCCCTGAAAGTAACCAGTAAGAATTCACTTTATAACTTCGTATAATCTCGTGATTAATATAATAATTTTGTCTCACAAGATTCTCATACAGTAATTATCCAGTTTTGTGTGCACATGCTGCTAATACTTTCATACTAAATATTGCCCTCCTACCCATTATTTTCCCCAAATTGACCACATTTTTTTCCCCTGAAGATTGGTTTGCAGTGTCTTTTGTATTTTGGTTGTTAGAACAGAGTTGTCAGGAGGAAGTGTTCAGTTTGTGCAACATCACGGAGTGAACTGCAGCTGTTCCGGATTTTTGAAGCATGGAGAATGGAGTGAATATTGCATGTCATATAGTTTAGTGTTTGAATGACTTCATTTTTGAACTGAATGTAAATTCATATAAATTTGTATGTTTTGTTATGATGGAATTATAAATATACCTCTTTCTTAGTTTAAGTGGAGTAAAAATAAATACTCTTCAGCCTGGAACGTTTTGAAAGGGTCTAAAATTAGAAGTAGCACATGGCAAAATGCTGCTAAGACAGAGATGTCCCTATGCCTAAGCACCGTCCACGCTACTTGGCCAACCCATTATAACCTATTTATTCTATAGTAGCCTGTATAAATCACAGAGTTCCTTTCTTTGTCATATTCCCACTTCCGTTATTCCTGTTAGGCCCTAATATTTTTTACCTTGGCATGTTATTTTCAAACACTTGAACTTACTGTTGAGTAAGAAGCAGTCACATTTCACACTCATACAAGACACGTTATAAAATTGTATCCTGTTAAGAAAGGGGTCTTAGAATTTGGCCACTTTTGCCAAAACATCTCTGAATACATCTGTCGGTAAAAGAATATTTAGAATTTCACCTTGTGTACATAATGTAGTTGCAATATAAAATTATTTGTGTTTAATGTGGTTATTAATTTGGGCTGAAATTGAAACATGACTTTTGTACAGAACTGTAGATTTTTGTAGATAAAAGTTTATGGGGTAATTCTTCTTGAATTATGAACAGTTTCTGAATCTTGGTTTAAGCATAGCATGGATTAAATTACACAGTGTTTTGCCAAATAAGCTTCAAGATTTTGGGTCATGTGTTGAAATATTCAAAGTTCGTAATTTCCAAAGTGATATTTTTTATGAGCTGCAGGAATTAATAGTCTCATTATGTAATTTCCAAAGTGAGATTTTTCTTGAGCTGCAGGAATTAATAGTCTCATTAAACATGAGATTCTTCTAAGTGCTGTACATGTAATCTGAAGCAGTAATATGGAAATTACTGTGTGATTTAATCCAGTCAGCTTTAACTATTGTACTAAAAAATTTTTTTTGAAATGGTGGGTTGTCATTTTTCTGCAATATAACAAGCCATTAATGTCGCATTGCGTTACTTCCTTCACTGCACAAGCAAGTCCTTCATTTGCAGTGTGTTTTTGTCGCTCGGAATAATGTTGCAACTATGTCGCACTTTATCTCTGGTTGCCTGTTCTGAAGGGGAAATCTCATTCTTACTACATACAGATTAAATTGTTCTGGTTTTCAGGTACTGATTATATTTTTTATCTTGAGCAACAGATGCTACTACTGTCCTTCTTTGACTGTTGTTTTCTGCATACAGAAACATTACTGTTGACTGCATGATGAATGAGGTCTGAAGTGACATCATATACAACTCAGTTTTAAACAAATGTTCCATTTATAGAGAGACGTTACAACGACAGTTGCATTCATGCTTGCTGCTGTGGTCTCATTTAGTAGAGGCGCTATCCTGACAGATTGTTAGTGGTTTTCCTCAGCCTCTTCAGTTAAATGTAAGGGTAGTATGTTATGAGAGGCCATTGCTGCCTCCTTTCATATCCATCCCTCGATACGATTCATGGTAAAGTTCCCAACTTATAAGTTTTGCTGTTCATGCATCATTGTTAGATATCTTGAGAAACAGTTGAATGACATTTGTGGGTAACATCTCTCTGTAATATTCAAGAACTTAAGAGGATAAAGTTGTGAGGCCATTTTGACCTCACAGTATGGTCTCTACTGAAGTTTTATGAGAAAGGAATGCATTACCCTTCCAGCGTGTGAATGGTGTGTTTCGGGAGATTTTGTGCAAGTTTTTGAGTTGCTGAGCCGTGGGAGATATGTGATGCATTTTTTCGTACACCAACTTGTATTGTACATACTTTTTATAAAGACAGATGTTTTGCAGTGTGCATGATTTGATTTTTGCATCAAAATGCTATGTGCTATTTCGTATATCTATACATTTTTCATAAAAATAATTTTGAATAGTTTTAAATGCTCTTTTGCATCAGTCACTTGTGCATCAATGTCTGATTAAATTCATTATGTTTAATAGCAAATGTTCAAATGCTTTTAATAAAATATGTAGATTTACTGCAGTAATTCCCACAGTTTTAGGCTGAGTGAATACCATTTTTGTGGGATAAAGTCTTGCCCAGGGATAGCTGATTGTGTACATTTTTTATCAGTCTGTGTCATAATTATTACAATAATTCCTCCAAATTGGAGGGCCTGACAGTATTTGATAAAGTTGGAAAATCTGTAAAAAAAAAAAAAATTGTGCTGAAATCTTGAAAATGGAGATTGTGTACTTTGAACAGAAGTTTTATTTTGAAAGAACATTCGAAAGGATGTAATAATATGTTAACTTTGAATAATATCATGTATTCTCAGTAGCTTGCCCATCGTAATAGAGATAAAAATAACGATCCAGTTGTCTTTGTAACATAAGGGTTTCACTTATGATTTTGTAGGTAGTTCAAAACAGAAATTGAAGTAGAAATAAAATGTTTTGTGTAGTTGTTAATTTCAGGTTATTTCTACTGTTGCTGATGTGTTTAACAAAATAAGCATCATCTGTACAGAAAAACAAAACAAATAATTTTAAGAATTATACAAACATGCTTTGAAAAATTGGTTTTATTTTCTGTCATTAACACAGAAACATTACAAAATCAATTTGTTGAATCATCGTTATCGTACATTCTGTGTGTGTGGCAGTCATGATGCACTTGTGGATGCACAGTTGTAAGAAGCAAAGTGGTTGGCCTAAGTGACAATGATTGCTATGTACTTTCATTTTTTAAATATATATATATACACATACATAATATACTGTGCTTTTATGTTACGTGTCCTTGTTAGAAGGATCAGACATGGGGTTACTAGATGTCATTTACTAGAAACTATATTTTTGAAACTGCACAAGCGAAGTACTGACTGGCCATGTTTAAGATCTCATTAAGTTTCATTTTGGTGAAACTTTAGTGGTTACTAGTTAATTGAACAACACATAGTGCCCCAAGTATACCACAGTTCTATGAAATTTGAGGTTTTTTATGGCAGCTAAGTACAGTGAAGTCTTCTTGTGTGATCATCTGCTGTTGGTACAGAATAGAACCCAGTGTAACAGACTCCCGTTTCATCCATTATCAGAGACTGAAATGAGTGACACATATTAGCCAATATATGTTCATATAGATCTGTTGGCGCCTGGTGCTCATCGGCCAAGAGTAAGCAAAAAGGAGAGGTGGGCAGAGTCGAGTGGTTACCCATCTAGCAATTGGCCTGGCTTGGTGGGTTTCTTACTGTTGATGGAGACAAAATCAGTCTCCGAAACATCAGAGTAATATTCAGTACTAATGCAGCTGATCACATGAGAATATATATATATTTTTTTTTGTATTATAGTTCTGCCTGGTCAGTTTATAAAAACTTGTGCAACATTACAGACATTTTAAAGTAACTGCTGGTCCAGCTAACAGTAGGACATTTTAAGTGTAACCTCTGAACTGTGAGAAAGTATATATACCTAAATAAAGTGTTTCCCTGTTTAAAAAATTTAATGTTTGGATTGGGTGAATACTAGGGTTGATATGGCAACAGATTAATCGGCTAGTCATGTACTGTTAATTGATTACTTGGCTGAAAAATCTGAAAATTAACCTGTTAACAGAAACATACCTTGTCATGAGGAAGATTATACATTTGTAATTTTAAATCTGGACCTAGTATAAACATTGGTTTAGGATGATAGTTTTCATTCTCAAATTAAAAGTCAAAAAATTTTTGAAGAGCCATTTTCTGAATCATGTAATAGGTGTAATGTTGAACCACAGATAACAGAACTGTGAAATATACTGAATAATTTTGAGTATGGAAGATGAAGGTGTACATACTATATGATTTCTACATTATTCATTGTTCTGTAATTTTTTAACATAATGCATAGAAATGAACCCAATATCCTTTTAATAGTTGATCAACGTAACTTTTGCATCTGTTTTGTTGCTCAGTGAAGACTCTGCATTTGGTTTAGTTGTTGATATATGTGGTGAAATTTGTTTCTGTTATAACATTTGTTTACAAAGAATATGGTACTGATTGAAAATTAAATATCGTAGTCCTGTCACATTTAAATTCTTGGCCTTATTTTTCAGTCTTGTATGCATAGATCTAGATACATAGCATATCTATCTCACAGTTCATTGGTTAAAATTGCAAGTTTTTAATCTGTGAGGTTGTGCTGATTACAGCGGTTGACTCGAAGAATCTTATGCCTCCTGGAGATGATGAGATAAAGGACGGTCAGTGGCTTGGTGTGACAGTGCGCAGCATGGGACCTGGTAAAAAAGTCATGGTATGTGGTCTTCCTAGTGTTGGTTTGTTGGTTTTAGGAGCCCAACTTCTGCATGTTCCATCCAAATCCCTGAGTCTCAGTAACAACAATAAATTTGTCAGTCATCATAATAATCTGTTCAAGAAAAATTATAACCATAGAATCAGTCAGCTATTTTACACTTTTAGTTTGGTAAATTGTTCTTACAAGGATAATTAACCATTGTTAAATAAATTGTAGAAGTAATAATTTCATGTACATGTGTTAAGTATAAGTCTGTTGTATCCAGCTTCACTTTCTAATTTTGGTTGCCAGATGAAAGACTACATTTCCATTTATAATGGTGAAAGTAGTTGGTGGAAAAGATGAGTGTTAATGTTCTGGATACTTGAGCAGGACAGAAAAGAATTGTCTGAAATATGCAGTTACATAGTTACATCATTCAGCTTTCTTGTTAAATTACACCTGATTGGTGAATATGTTTGTTGCCTGTTCAGAAATATGTAAGCAACAACAATGGCATTGTATGAAGAGAAACTGGGCACTTGCAGGGATGAAGGTTATTTATTATACATTAAACTAGAAAGGGCTTTGCTTTCTTTCATTCAGTGTGATTGATTGTAAGTCAGTTTCTCTTTACATTCTTGATAAATGTACATATTTATTTTACATTGTTATTAATAAATTTTTAGTTTTGTCGCATTTGTATCAAACACTGTTGAATTATCTTAATCTAACAGTGTTCTTTTATGAACAACATAGCTGGGTGGTTAGCACTTCTGTTTTGTGTTTACGAGGTCTTGGATATGTCTTGGGCTAGAGATCGGCTATTCCGAGATTTTTTTAGCTTTTCCTCAGTCCCTCCAGGTGAATATACCTTAAATTAATCCATGACCACTTTCTTCCATATTGTTTCCAGTTCATTAATAATCGGTAAAGTCATTAAATAAAATGTGAGATAGGCCAAGGCTTGTAGTATGCATTCAAGGAAGAAAAAATGCACACACAGGTTTGGTTATAGAATCTCGAAGGAAAATCAGTGATGTGTGTTTATCCATTATAATGGGTTTAAATATTAAATATATTTACTTATATATGGATGGTTCAGATACCAAAAGAAACAAAGGGTTCTATTAATTTAGTTATATGAAATTTACATCAAAGTTAAGTATAAAAATTGTTAAAAAATACATATTATATCCCATAAAATGTAAACATCAATATTCCTAGCTTACACTCATTGGCTTCTGACCTGTACATGTCTGTTTTTTAGGCCATTGTCATACTTTATTATTACATGATTGCTGTATATATTGCATTGTTTCCTGCAGGTGTGTGCCCACCGCTATATGAGGAAGGGTTTCGATTATCAATGGGGGCAGGGCCTTTGCTACACGCTCAGTCAGTTTTTGGACTATGATGAAACATGGGAACCATGCAAGGGTCGACCCACAAACAGGTAATACAAAACTTTACAGCTACGGAACACAGAAGGTTTTATGTGTGTAAGAAACTTGGCATATCACTCTATTGATTTCTTGTTAGTGAGATATTTGCCTTTTAAGAGAAGGGCATTATTCTTATCTGCAGAGCTCATGAACAGTATGGCTACTGTCAGGCAGGAACTAGTGGTTTGCTGTTGGATGACACAGCAGTGATTGGCACCCCTGGTCCCTACACATGGCGTGGGACTGTGTTTGTTATCAGCGTGTCAGAAAACTTCTTAAATCGAGACAAGACCATCTACCATGGGCCGTTACTGGAACACGAGTCACCTGTCGATAAGTACAGCTACTTGGGTAAGAGTACACATCCTCCGTTAAAGAAGATGGAGAAATGCGTGCCAGCTGTGTGTTTAGCACTGTTCACTGTAATGTCAGGATTTAATAGACAGGTTTATTGATGGGTTACTGTTGATTCACTTGCACTTACTGTCGCAATGAACATTTAAGAAATAAATCCAGTGCTAAAATAATTATCCAAATTTTGGTAGTGGCATTTGTTCCACGTGATGTGAAGTAGTTATATAACCATGAGTCATTATTCTGGAATAGGATATTAGCATTTCCTGTACTGCACATGTTACGTATGGTACGCTATGGCTTATTTTCATTGAAGTAATATAATTTCTTGCACACCAGAATGGTGGTTAAAGGATTGTTACTGGTTTACGAGAACTTTGTGGGAATTACTTTCTTATAGGAATGTCTGTAACTGCTGGACAGTTCTTTGGCAACAAAAGTGCGTATGCTGCTGGTGCACCAAGAGCAAATGGCACTGGTCAGGTAGTGATCTTTACTAAGAAACGACCGACGGAGAATCCGATGGACGTGCAGCTTATTCTCAGTGGGGAGCAGTTTGCCTCCAGCTTTGGTTATGAACTGACAAATGCTGATATCAATGGAGATGGGTATGTTGAAAGGATTCTTGTTAGGGTAAACCACCGCCTGATACTCAGGTGGTGGTTTTATTTTAGCGGCGGTTTACTCGGTTTTTGGAATCGGTATACGATCAATTCAAGTGACGGATTTTGTTCTTGAAGTGCTTATCTATTTCAAATGTGAGGCTTAGAATAATGGGCATGTGCTTGGTGGTGACAGATTGCAGTGTTTATCATTACAGTTCATGCCAGTCCCATTTTAAATATGAAAATCTTGGTTCATCACAACATTTTATTTTATGTCTTGGCACAGCAAATTGTTACTCATATCTCTTTCTCTTTAGATAGGCACCAGGGACATCTAGACCAGACAATGCAAATTTCAGTTTCATCAGTTTGCCATTTTACCGCTGGAGAAAGGAGCCCCTCCCCCTCCGTATACATGCCCCCCCTCCCCCAATTCCCCTCTTTCTCTGGTGCCTGTTTTAGAGAAAATTGATGGAACCCACAGCTATACAGTCAGCACTTGGTGGTTACTTACTTCCTTAATTCGATCCGCTTCTACCTTACGGTGTCAAGGTTTTGCAAAGAGCTCGCCATGCTCAGTCTGGCTTGCTCTCTTAGTTTACTTTTAATTAGATATATTTTGAGTGTGCTGGGGATTGGCCAGGAGCACTCTAGCATGCCCCATGCAGCAGGAAGCTTAGTTGGGCAGCAGCACTCTAGCATGGTGGAAGGGCTGCCTCCTATCTGCCCCATGCAGCAGGAAGCTTAGTTGGTCAGCTTCTTCTCATGCTGAGTTTTACAGGGAGAGTTGAGACTTCTCTCCCTAACCATCCTCCTTTCTCATCCGGGCTTGGGACCGGCCATGGCGGAGTTTGCACTTGGTGATAACAACAAAA